GACCATAGTGCAATGACATTGGAGATCAGTGTCAAAAACAAAGCACAGGAATTTTATAAACAAATAAAAATTAAATAACACCCTCCTGAACAACCAATGAGTAACATGAAATTAAAGAAAAAATAGACAGTTTCTATAACTAAACAATGCCAATACAACAAACTGGACTTATGGGATGCAATGAAAGCAGTCTTACCAGGTTATAGTGGTGAATTCTCATATCAGAAAAACAGAGAAAGTTCAAATAAACAACCAGATGTTGAGCTCAAGCTTCTAGAAAAAGAAAAGCAAGCCCCAAGCTTGTACAAGAGAAAAAGTTATAAAGATCAGAGCAGAAATTAATGCAATTGAGGCTAAGAAAACAATACAAAGAATCAATTAATCAGAGTTGGTTCTATGAAAGATTAAACAAAATTAGCAAATACTTAGCCAACTTTATCAAAAGGAAAAAAAAAGACTCAAACCCATGCAATTAGGAATGAAAAGGGTAAAATCAACATATCTTGCAGAAATTCTGAAGATCATGAGTACTTGCTTTTAGAACCTGTATTCTAATAAGATATAAAACACAGATGAAATGGACAAATTCCCAGATATATATTAATCAACGAGGGTTGAACCAAGAAGATACAAAACTCTAAATAAACCAAAATCACTCAATGAAACTGAAGATATAATTAAAAACCTACCAACATGGGAGTGTAGACTGGTGCAACCACTGTGGAAATCATTGTGGAGATTCCTCAAAAAACTAAAACTAGAGGTCCTTTTGACCCAGCCATTCACCTTCTTGATGATATCTTAAAAGAATTTAAAGCATCATACCACAGCAATATATGCACACGCATGTTTACAGCAGCACAGTTGAAATCTTGGAAACAGCCCAAATGCCCATCAGTCAATGAATGGATAAAGAAGGTGTGTTTTTTATGCAACGGAGCACTACTCTGCCATACAGAAGGATGAGCTTGAGACATTTCTAGATAAATGGATGCACCTTGAGACCATACTCTTGTGAAGTAAACCAAATACACATTTAAATGTGGCATGGCTTGTGTGGTGTAAGAAACTCGAAGTGTAAATAAGGACCAAAATGTATAATAGATATTGTGAAGTAGGAAGAAAATGTTCAAATGGAAAGGGGAAACAGGAAGCGGGGAGGAGGAAGAAGGAAGGGAAAAGGAAAAAAGAACAGAAGAAAAAATGGAAACAAAGTTTTTGTAAATGAAGAGGAGAAGAGGGGTTGAAGGGAGGAAAAGGGGGGAAAACAGAATGAAGATGTATCATGTACAGTTACAAATTCCCTATGATGGATATCTGTGGGAGCCCACCGTGGCTCTCTGGCATTTGACATTTGAAAGGAAACTTCTTCCTCTACAATGAAGGCATTGATACAAGCTATGTAACATTTGTTACCTTTCAAGGACTCTGTTTGTTAAGCTTATTTGTTCTTTGACCCTGTGATGGGAGGAACTCAAAGAGATAGCCAAAGATTTGGTGGTATCTGTAGAAATCAGGAATTCCTGTTTTTGCATAAGAAATGATGGAGATGATTGCTTGATGCTTCCTGTTAGTGGGCCTTTAAGGAAAGCTGTTTCTGTAGAAATAAACCAGACTTCTCTTGGTCTCCACTCAGGTGTGAGTGTTCTTTCCTTTCTCAATCCTCACTCCCCAACTCAGGTACGTTCGTGTTGTGACGGCTGGGCTGCCACAGATATCATTGTGTATATCTAAAAGGTACCGATAAAATTAATTTTAAACAAGAAACAAAGATGTAGCAACTAAATGTGTGATCTATGAGTGAAAAAAATATTCCAATAACTCTCATAACTGGGAGTATTGACAAAATTCGAGCAGATGGTGTACTGTTTGAGTGGGCAGATTAAGGTAAAAATGCTAAGTATGGTATTCTAAATTTGATCCATTGTGCTTAAATTATTAAATTCTCTATTTTTAAAAAATTCACACCAGAGCTTTTAGAAGGAAAAGGTCATGATGTCTATCATTTACTTTGAGCTCACCAAAAATATGTAAATAAAATATAATAATAAAAATACTACCACCATATATATGGGCTGATAGCCTTCATTTATACAGACACTATATTGAGATTAAAAGAAATGTGGGATATGAAAATGCCCGAGCAGAAAAATTAGTTTTATTTGTACCTAAAGGTGCTACTTTTTTTTTTTTTTTTTTTTTTTGAGACAGGGTCTCACTATGCAGTTGAGACTGAACTGGATGTAAACTCACTATGTAGCCCAGGTTGGTCTCGAATTCACAGCGATCCTCCTGCCTCAGCCTCCTGAGTGCTGGGATCACAGACGTGCGTCACCACGCCCGGCTTAAAGGTACTACTTTTCCACAGATACATCAGGAATCAGAAAAATCTCAATGGGATGCAAAGCAACAATCAGAGGTGCTGAGTATTAGAACTGCGGTAGCGTGTTGGGCAATCACACCGCTGCTTTGGGCCCAACTTCCCGCAGGGACGTATAGGCCCAGGGCCCCTCTACTCAGCACAGTGCTCGTTTCTCTGGCAAATGCTCCAGTACCTGGGGGACCAGAGGCAGACCCAAAGGGGGTAAGATTCAGGCCAGGCTGAGCAAGCCAGAATTTCTCAGGGAGTTCGCGCGCTCGTGTGGGGGTGGGGGCAGCTCTGACACCTGCAAGTTCCCAGTATCTAAGTAACTCGTGGGAGTAAACGAATCCGACGACAGCTGCATTACTGTTTCTGGAGTGGTTGGCGACGCGGGGTTGGCGACCTTGCCCGGCCGCGTTACTCCGAGCACATCAGCTCTTGACGAGTGCTCGCGGTCACGTCTCGGCAGCTAAGCAGGGAAAGCTAAGGGAGGACGGTGGACGGGCTCCGGGCGGGGCGGCAGCCGGCCCATCCGTCCAGCCTAACCGCTTAAATGGTCAAAGAAGCTGCATGGCACAACCTCGGAAGTAAACGCGGGCGCGTTTTACAAACTCCTGATCTGCCAGTCCTTTCCGAAATCAGCCTGCCCACGCCCAGCCCCCGCCGCCCACCCG